GAAACTCTTCAAAGGTATATTGAAGGTAAAGGTATATACTATTAACACCTGGTACATAATGCACATGCTGCTGTGCATAAACTTTCTGAATAGTACTTCTCCTTGTGTTTACTTACAATTCCAGTGAGAAGAGTAGACTTCTTCCTCCTTGAGCATTGTCTATCATAAAAGGTAACCTAAAATGCTGGGGACCATCCGCAGTTTGCCATAGCCTGAAAATAACCCTTAATTTTGCTTTATAATGGCCTCAATGTGCAGAAGTAATGATGGTGGAAGTTCTTCAAAGTCTAAGAGAAGCCATGAAGTGCTTCCCATCAGTGAGAAAGTGATAATTCTCCACTTATTGTGCATAATTTATCAGTTAAACTTTATAATAGGTATGTATGTAAACGAAAAACAACTTGTACAGTGGACCCCCGCCTAACGATATTATTTCAATCCAGAAGTCTGTTTGGGTGCCATTATAGACCGAATTTGTTCCCATAAGAAATATTGTGAATTAGATTAGTCCATTTCAGACCCCCAAAAATACACCTACAAAAGCACTTACAAAAATACACTTACATAATTGGTCGAGTTGGGAGCTGATCGTTAGGCGGGGGTCCACTGTATATAGGGTTTGCTACTATCCACAGTTTCGGTATCCACGGCAGGTCCTTGGAACATATCCCTCATGGATATGGGGATTCTACTGTACTATGTAGTTTGTTTTATCATTTACTACCATAAAATTTACACATCTGTTATAAAGAAATAAAATTTATCAAAGCTTACACAAACACAGATCATACATGGCGCCATTCGCAGTCGAGAAATGTAAAGAAATGCATAAAATTAACAGTGATACGTACTGTACTACTGTATTATTTTCATAGCCACCACCTTTTGCTATTGTGGTGAGCTCGTGTTGCAGATATCTGCTTAAAATGTCATGTGATGCTAATCTTCTCCATGCTTATCACAGTAAAAAGTGGTCTCTTGTGGTTCTCGTGTATTTTTCATCATGTTTAGTGCAATACTGTAAACCTTGAATAACACTGTGACCCAAACGAAGTGCCATGTATAGCATTGACAGTGTTTTGTATCACGTAAGACATTATTGATGTAGGTACTGACTGACAGACGATTCATTTTTTAAACAGATGATGTAAACTTATGGTATCAATAAGTACAGTACAGTACTGTAAGTGTATTTTCTCTTCCATATGATTTTCTTAACATTTTCTTTTCTCTAGCTTTATTGTAAGAATACAGTACTTATATAATACATACAACATTCAAAATGTGTGTTAATTGACTATTTATGTTATTGGTATGGCTTCCAGTCAACAGTAGGCTACTTGTAGTTAAGCTTTTGTATCATGGGATTATTGCATGCTGTCTGGTAGTGGGAATGATTGATGAGGCTTTAGAGGCTTCTTACTTATTTGCAGTTCGTGGTACACAGGCAGTGTGTTTAACCCTTAAACGGTCCAAACGTATATAGTATACGTTTTTTCAACATCTGAAAGTATGTAAAAAAATGTAGATCTTCTTTTTTTTGTTTTACATTTGAAAACATGTAAAAAACAGTAGATCTACTTTTGTAGCACTACGAATTTGACCGTTGATCTGTTTGGACCGTTTAAAGGTTAAGTTGCCCTTGCCCAGGAGGGCCATGCCCAGTGAGAGAAAGAGGAGTAGGCCTTGTTAACTCTAGGTTGCCTGGTCATCAAGTGAGAGTGAGGCAGGGTGATGTGGGTTGAAGTGGCATGCCCACTAGGCTTTCCCTCTTGTATCACCTATTGAAACTAGGCACGTAGGCTTACAGTCTGCATTTTGCTCGGCCACTTACCCATGGTTGTCCTTGACCATGATTGGCTGTAAAAAAAAAAAAAAAAACTCAGTCTCTCTCTTGCAGGAACAGGGCACAGAACACAGAATAAACATATACACCTACCATCTGACTTACGACCAAGTTCGGTTCCGAGAAACCGGTCGTAAGTCGAAATGGACGTAAGTCAAACTTTACTACTGAATATCAACATAACTTTTTTGTAATGACTTTATTTTATTGTTTTATTTTGGTATTTCATGTTTTACTTTACTTTTTATGCTGTTAGTACTGTATTTTATACTGTAAGGTTTAGGATAAACACTGTACAACACAAACACTTGTTTATTTCCCAGAAATTTGGCATAAAAAACACGGTCGTAAGTCGAGTCGTCGTATGTCGAGCAGGTCGTAAGTTGGATGGTAGGTATATATACACGTGGACATGGAAAAATACTTCCTTCAGGGAGGGAAGAAAAAGGGGTGTTCTAAAACATCGTGGTCCCAGGCAGCGAGCATCGGTGGGCATCACTGCACGCCTTCCTGTGTCTGGGCAGATACTGCAACACAGGAGACACTGCTGCGGCTGAGCTGTGACGTAACGGTACGGTCTCCTCTGGAGCAGTGAAGCAGTCATCATAGTAGTCGCTGCAGGGTCCACTCATCTTGGGGCACAACCTGCTGGTGTCCTTATGTGAGGCGTCATCAGTACACGGAGGGACTACTACTGGCAAGCGACTCAGGAGGATATTTCTTGTCTGGTACTGTCGCTGGGGCTGTCACTGCTGACTGGTACTGTCGCTGGGGCTGTCACTGCCGACTGGTACTGTCGCTGGGGCTGTCACTGCCGGTGTGTGTGGAGCGAGTCATGGCAGGGACGACTCAGTGTCGTAACAGCATACACCTTAACTGGAGTGGGCTAGCAGTCAAAGTGACATCATCTTTGTATAGGCTGCTCACTGAGATTATGACATGAGTCAGACAGTCGCCTGCCGACAGGGCTACTGCAGCTGGACGAGTGTCATCCTCTCGACAGTTTAATCTAGTGTCCTCAGACTGGTTCTCTACATATGTAACTGCTTTCTGATGGTCAGGAGGTGGAGTGGAACAAGTCTTGATGAGGAATCATAGCAGGTATGACTCAGCAGGGCAACTACAAGCGGTGAACAATGAGCTTTCTGTACAAGGGGTTCAGATGCTCGTAACTGACACCAGGACTGACTAATGTCAACTGTCAACAGTCAAGGGTGTAACACATGGGTGCGATAGTGGTCTGGGCTCAGACCATACTGTGATCCACACACACAGCTGTGCTTAGACCACTTAATCAGGGACACACATCAAACTTGCACACACTCGCACTGCACATGCGATTACAACATGGCTTGCACTAGCAAATGACACTTTTCTGTGCAAAAGTCGAAACTGTGCCATATGAACATGTGAGAACACTGAGAGGAATAACAAGTGATATACCTTCTCCCAATCTTCTCGACAATACTGAAACAGTTTGCTCACTGTGAAACTAGAACACTCGCTGTGACATCATGTGATATCATATCATGAGGGATGTCATGGGGTGACATTGTGAGGTGACGTTAGACAGACGTCAGGCAATGGTGACGTCATGGGTGATGCGAGGCAGCATGTGGCTTGGGTAACTCACTTGGTAACCCACTTGGCTTATAGATCCACACTTGGCTTCACGATCCATGTGGCTTCGAGTGACCTCGGGCACTCGGATACACAGCTCTGGCAAAGAATTCACACTGAATTCACAGAAAAACAGCAGAGGGAGTGAGAGCATAGTGGTGGAGAGAGTGGTGGTAGGAGTGTGGTAGCTGGGTGAGGCGAGCGAGGTGTTATGATAGAGCCACGACCGCGCACCTTGCCACTCTCACCTCACAACACACGAGGGAGACATCCACACTGGACGTTGAAATCACCACAAACTCCTCTGAATTGCTGAAATAGCCATGCTGGGCTGAAAACAACAGTAACATATAGGTGGTGATGAACATGTGACTTGAGAACAGAGTGGGGCACTGTGAAGTTCCAGGTGATGCCACGAACATTTCTTGAGGAAAATTCAGCAAATTTCTGTGTCTGAATGATGAAACTTGCAGACACAACTTCAGGATAATGCGTAGAGAGATGGATGCTCTTGTATGGGGTGAGGAAGTGAAGGCATCTTCATTACTTTATTTGTGATTCGTGGTACAGAGGCAGTGTATTTAAGTTGTCCTGGCCCAGGAGGGCCATGCCCAGTGAGGGAGAGAGGAATAGGCCTTGTTGACTCAAGGTTGCCTGGTCGTCAAGTGAGAGCAAGACAGGGTGATACAGGTTGAAGTGGCATGCCCACCAGGCTTGCCCTCTGGTGTCAACTACAGTCTTTATTTTGGGTGTCAAAAATTATACGCAGATTTTCGACTGTGCAGGGGGTTGACACTCTGAATCCCCGCATTGTTCAAGGGTCATCTGTATTTAGATTTTTTTTTTGTAATATTCCTTACATGTTTCCTCCATAATGCGGTTCAGTGATACAGTATCTCTTATTCAAATAATTTTATGTGCTGAAATGGGAATTGGGGATATGCAAATTAAAATTAGAATTTTTTTCCTCCTTGAAACTTTGTGAATTTTAGAAATTACATCATTGGGTAATTTTTTTAATTTGATTGCTGTCCAAATAAGAAAAATTTCTGTATTCTATTATGTATTGCAATTACAGTGGACCCCCGGTTAACGATATTTTTTCATTCCAGAAGTATGTTCAGGTGCCAGTACTGACCGAATTTGTTCCCATAAGGAATATTGTGAAGTAGGTTAGTCCATTTCAGACCCCCAAACATACACGTACAAACGCACTTACATAAATACACTTACATAATTGGTCGCATTGGGAGGTGATCGTTAAGCGGGGGTCCACTGTATATATAAATTGTTTCATTGTTCACAGCTAACCCACAAATTGGAGATAAATCATATCTTAGATGATAATTCAGTTTTTCCTAACCATTATTGAGTCACAGCACTTATGATTTAATAATGGTGCAGAATGAACAGAAACATCATCTACAGATTTCTATTGAAATTTGAGTTAGTTGTAAATTGTTCTAGCTATAATACTGTGGCTTTTATTCCAATGTTTCATTGCTGTTATTTTTCCAATTTGAAATTTCCACAGGGTCAAACTTGGTACAGAGAGCAATACGGGCCATGGCATCTGATGATGCAGACGAAGTTGTGCTGGAGACGGAGATTACTAATAAGCCAGCACTTAGGTTATATGAAAACTTAGGATTTGTCAGAGACAAACGACTCTTCCGGTAAGTTGATAATTGTTATTCTCCATTTCATTGTCTAGAGCTTTTATGCCAACAGTGAGACTTAGGGTAGGGTATGTAAGAGGTTTGGGGACTATTTTCCAGTGAAAGAAGGGCTTCAACAGGGATGCATAATATCACTATGGTGGTTTAGCATCTTTATGATTGGGGTTGTAAAAGAGGTGAATAATAGGGTGTTAGGAAAAGGAATGGGATGAAAAGATGTTGGCTCTGATAATAAGTGGGAGTTGTCATAGTTGTTCTTAGCTGAAAGTTGCAAAGGTTGATGGATGAGTTTGAGAGGGAAGGTAAATGAATGAAATTAAAAGTGAACATTAGAAAAGAGCATGGTAATGAGGATAACATAGTCAGTGATAGATTGAATATCAGATTGTAGAGAAAGAGTATGGAGTAAGTGGATGTATTTAGATGCAGTGGACCCCCCAATTTCGTAGTTGTCGGATTTCGTAATATTCGGAATTAGTAATGTGTTTTCGTCAAAATATTGTCATTCGTCCCGAATGCATCCGCACAGCAACAGCGGCCCAACACTGTGTGCCATTGTTTATCAGCCATTTAGCATGATCCCACACATTCATATGATGCATTTCGTATTATTCAATTCTTTTTAGTGCTTGCAGCTGCTAAATAAAGCCACCATGGGCCCCAAGGAAGTTCCTAGTACCAGCTAGCCCTTTGGTAAAGGGCTGAGATAGAAGGGAGAATGTGCCGCCTTCAGTGATTCTGTGATATGTACGATACTAAACAAGAGGAGTTAATAAAGGCTAAGGCTATAGCACCAGTCAGTGATAGTATAGCAAGTAAGTTAAGCAGTTAATTTATAGAAAAAGGACAGCATGAAACTGATTCATCCAGTGCTGTTGGAGGTACAGTGGTCCCTCGTTTTTCGTAATTAATCCGTTCCTGGAGGAGCTACTATAAACGAAATTTATGATTTGCGAATCAATTTTCCCCATAAGAAATAATGTAAATACAATTAATCCGTTCCTAACACCCAGAAGTATTAAAACAAAAAAAATTTTTACATGAAATATACATGTAGTACATAAACAATACAATGGGAAATGATGAATGAAACATTAACAGCATAACACTTACCTTTATTGGAGATTCTTCTTAGTGTATGGGAGACTGAAGGAGGAGAGAGATTGGATTGTTTACAGTTTGGAAGGGGAATCCCCTTCCAGCAACACCTCAGGTACCAATTGCTTCTCTGGGGTTGCTTCTCTTCTCTGTTTCTTAATTCCACTAGGACCACCTTGAGAGTCACTCTAGTCCGTCTCACAAGTAACTGTGGAGAGAGCTCTGTTTCTGGCGTCTCTTTAACACTTCCCTAAAATGGCCCAAGACTTTGTCACTGTACATATTTCTCACCATCTTTACCACAGGCTTGGCACTAGGAGCTTTCTTTGGAGCCATGGTAGCTTATTTAGTACTTGCAAGCACTAAAATGAGTGGAATATTATGAAATATTTCGTAGGAGCACTTGAGGGGACCTTCACTCACTGGTAAACAATGCCAGACGGGCTGGGTAGGGAGGCCTCCCCGGCTCACACCGTGCGTACACGTCCCGGACGAACTACTATTCGCGAGTCAACCTATGAAAAGCGAGTCCATGTTTATGCGAAAATACTCCTATGATTGGCGAAATTTACGATTGCCGAGAACTACGAAAAGCGAGGGACCACTGTATATAGGGCTACTGGCTAACACTGCCGCCTTCACCACCACTATGTAAGGGTTATCTTTTGGTGGCCCTTATACACCCAACAACAAACAACACAACAACAATTGTTGGTTAGGGGGAGAGAGACATGACATATTTTATTCATTCTAGAGTATATATCATGTTTCTATGTTATTAACCCTTTGACTGTTTCGGTCATATATATATGTCTTACGAGGTAACGTGTTTGACGTATATATACTCATATATATACTTATAATAAGCGTGTATGCACCTGGAGAAGAGAGAAGTGTAGAGGAGAGAGAGAGATTTTGGGAAATGTTGAGTGAATGCGTGGGGAGTTTTGAATCAAGTGTGAGAGTAATGGTGGTTGGGGATTTCAATGCTAAAGTGGGTAAAAATGTTATGGAAGGAGTAGTAGGTAAATTTGGGGTGCCAGGGGTAAATGTAAATGGGGAGCCTTTAATTGAGCTATGTGTAGAAAGAAATTTGGTAATAAGTAATACATATTTTATGAAAAAGAGGATAAATAAATATACAAGGTATGATGTAGCACGTAATGAAAGTAGTTTATTAGATTATGTATTGGTGGATAAAAGGTTGATGGGTAGGCTCCAGGTGTACATGTTTATAGAGGGGCAACTGATATATCGGATCATTATTTAGTTGTAGCTACAGTTAGAGTAAGAGGTAGATGGGAAAAGAGGAAGGTGGCAACAACAAGTAAGAGGGAGGTGAAAGTGTATAAACTAAGGGAGGAGGAAGTTCGGGTGAGATATAAGCGACTATTGGCAGAAAGGTGGGCTAGTGCAAAGATGAGTAGTGGGGGGGTTGAAGAGGGTTGGAATAGTTTTAAAAATGCAGTATTAGAATGTGGGGCAGAAGTTTGTGGTTATAGGAGGGTGGGGGCAGGAGGAAAGAGGAGTGATTGGTGGAATGATGAAGTAAAGGGTGTGATAAAAGAGAAAAAGGTAGCTTATGAGAGGTTTTTACAAAGCAGAAGTGTTATAAGAAGAGCAGAGTATATGGAGAGTAAAAGAAAGGTAAAGAGAGTGGTGAGAGAGTGCAAAAGGAGAGCAGATGATAGAGTGGGAGAGGCACTGTCAAGAAATTTTAATGAAAATAAGAAAAAATTTTGGAGTGAGTTAAACAAGTTAAGAAAGCCTAGGGAAAATATGGATTTGTCAGTTAAAAACAGAGTAGGGGAGTTAGTAGATGGGGAGATGGAGGTATTGGGTAGATGGCGAGAATATTTTGAGGAACTTTTAAATGTTAAGGAAGAAACAGAGGCAGTAATTTCATGCACTGGTCAGGGAGGTATACCATCTTTTAGGAGTGAAGAAGAGCAGAATGTAAGTGTGGGGGAGGTACGTGAGGCATTACGTAAAATGAAAGGGGGTAAAGCAGCTGGAACTGATGGGATCATGACAGAAATGTTAAAAGCAGGGGGGATATAGTGTTGGAGTGGTTGGTACTTTTGTTTAATAAATGTATGAAAGAGGGGAAGGTACCTAGGGATTGGCGGAGAGCATGTATAGTCCCTTTATATAAAGGGAAAGGGGACAAAAGAGACTGTAAAAATTATAGAGGAATAAGCTTACTGAGTATACCAGGAAAAGTGTACGGTAGGGTTATAATTGAAAGAATTAGAGGTAAGACAGAATGTAGGATTGCGGATGAGCAAGGAGGTTTCAGAGTGTGTAGGGGATGTGTAGATCAGGTGTTTACATTGAAGCATATATGTGAACAGTATTTAGATAAAGATAGGGAAGTTTTTATTGCATTTATGGATTTAGAAAAGGCATATGAAAGAGTGGATAGAGGAGCAATGTGGCAGATGTTGCAAGTATATGGAATAGGTGGTAAGTTATTAAATGCTGTAAAGAGTTTTTATGAGGATAGTGAGGCTCAGGTTAGGGTGTGTAGAAGAGAGGGAGACTACTTCCCGGTAAAAGTAGGTCTTAGACAGGGATGTGTAATGTCACCATGGTTGTTTAATATATTTATAGATGGGGTTGTAAAGGAAGTAAATGCTAGGGTGTTCGGGAGAGGGGTGGGATTAAATTTTGGGGAATCAAATTCAAAATGGGAATTGACACAGTTACTTTTTGCTGATGATACTGTGCTTATGGGAGATTCTAAAAAAAAATTGCAAAGGTTAGTGGATGAGTTTGGGAATGTGTGTAAAGGTAGAAAGTTGAAAGTGAACATAGAAAAGAGTAAGGTGATGAGGGTGTCAAATGATTTAGATAAAGAAAAATTGGATATCAAATTGGGGAGGAGGAGTATGGAAGAAGTGAATGTTTTCAGATACTTGGGAGTTGACGTGTCGGCGGATGGATTTATGAAGGATGAGGTTAATCATAGAATTGATGAGGGAAAAAAGGTGAGTGGTGCGTTGAGGTATATGTGGAGTCAAAAAACGTTATCTATGGAGGCAAAGAAGGGAATGTATGAAAGTATAGTAGTACCAACACTCTTATATGGGTGTGAAGCTTGGGTGGTAAATGCAGCAGCGAGGAGACGGTTGGAGGCAGTGGAGATGTCCTGTTTAAGGGCAATGTGTGGTGTAAATATTATGCAGAAAATTCGGAGTGTGGAAATTAGGAGAAGGTGTGGAGTTAATAAAAGTATTAGTCAGAGGCAGAAGAGGGGTTGTTGAGGTGGTTTGGTCATTTAGAGAGAATGGATCAAAGTAGAATGACATGGAAAGCATATAAATCTATAGGGGAAGGAAGGCGGGGTAGGGGTCGTCCTCGAAAGGGTTGGAGAGAGGGGTAAAGGAGGTTTTGTGGGCAAGGGACTTGGACTTCCAGCAAGCGTGCGTGAGCGTGTTAGATAGGAGTGAATGGAGACGAATGGTACTTGGGATCTGACGATCTGTTGGAGTGTGAGCAGGGTAATATTTAGTGAAGGGATTCAGGGAAACTGGTTATTTTCATATAGTCGGACTTGAGTCCTGGAAATGGGAAGTACAATGCCTGCACTTTAAAGGAGGGGTTTGGGATATTGGCAGTTTGGAGGGATATGTTGTGTATCTTTATATGTGTATGCTTCTAGACTGTTGTATTCTGAGCACCTCTGCAAAAACAGTGATAATGTGCGAGTGTGGTGAAAGTGTTGAATGATGATGAAAGTATTTTCTTTTTGGGGATTTTCTTTCTTTTTTTGGGTCACCCTGCCTCGGTGGGAGACGGCCGACTTGTTGAAAAAAAAAAAAAAAAAAATACTCATAAATTCTAGCGGCTTCAAGTCAAGCAGGAGAAAGCTGGTAGGCCCACATGTGAGAGAATGG